ATTTTGCTCATATGGGGGGGGGGGGGGGGTTATTACTTTATTTTCGTGAGCTGAGTGCTTACAGTACGTCTAGTTTCTTTTATAGGAAAATATTCTCGAGTTCATTGATTAATGTCCGTGATAAATATACAACCTATTTAAAAATGTACATACAGTCTAGAGAGACAAAGAACGATGAAAAGTTAATACAAGTACTGGAAAAATCGTTTGCATATAACGCCGAATCTTAACTTGGATTTCGCAAATTCCATGGCCGATACAATGACCTTGTCAGCAAAAACAATATATCATTAAGTCGAATGTGGACTGACTTGCTATGTCATTATTTTTACACTGAGTAGTCTACGGATTTTTCCGTTTTCCCGATCATGACAAGGAGCTCACGGCGGGTGTGACCGGTCGGCAGGGGATGCTTACTAATTCATTGCACCTGATCTCACGTTGGATGTTTTAGAGGTCCGTTTTGTCTTGCTCCAAACTTATTTTGTTTCAATGGACTTACGAGCTTGACTGCTATTCGTTATCTTCATATTTCATTTTTAATTTTTGTATATATAACTAAACAATATGTTATTATAAATATTTATTTCGTTTCGGGGAATAGAGACATTTGTAGTATGGTAATATCACTCGCATACATACTATGTATATATATTTTGCATTTAAAACAAACTTATACACCTTTCCCAAACAAAAACACACAAAAAAACTAATTTCAAGAACATAACATTACTTTATCACCATATTTGTGATAGAAACACTGAAACATTATAAATATATATTATACACATGTACAATAGGATGAAATAAAATAATGGAATTCTTCAAGTATCAAAACAGCCACTTGTACAAAATATCAACAAACATCATGATCATGGATTTGACAAAGCCAACTAAGAATTTCAAAAACCCGTGTGTTTGAATATTATTTTTTAAAACAGAAAATTTGGTGAATACTCTTTGACATTTGGATAAAATTGATAAAAAAAATAGTGAACAGATAGCCGCTACTTATTTCTAGAATCACTTATAACAAAACGCAAACTTAAAATAAAAGGAGGCAAAAGATCCCTAGTTACCCTACATCAAAAGAAGATGTAAAAAGAAAATGGAACAAAACGACTTGTAGGCACATTTTTGCGAGATGCTTCATAATGTTATTAACATGCAGGGGGGGGGGGGGGGGCGCTCACTTTTTTCTGGATATAGTATCTTGCCATAGTAAATTTACCTTTAGATGCAGGTTGCACCCCCTCACTTTTTGTTGCCGTAAGGTCGAGCACCAGGAATCAGACAGTTATTTAGGATTTTTTTTTTTTTTTTTTTTTTTTTTTTTTTTTTTTTTTTTTTTGCTTGCCAGGTTTTTTTGGGAAGTTGACCCCCCCCCCCCCTTGCACTTTTTGGTCAGTTTAGATTTTTCTTTTGGAGAAGTTGCTCCCCCCACCCCCACCCCCAACTTTTGAAAACGTTGCTACGGGTCTACCTCGTCCTTACAATGAACTCTTTCTAGCATTTCATTATAGGACCATAAAGCATAGATTTCCATAGAATTACACAGGCATCACTCATAGCTCCTCGAGAGGCTCGTTCCTCGCACGCTAGCTAACCTCGGACGTGAGCGGTGTTTTACAATTTTGCTCATACAATCATGTGATCCAGTTCGAAATTCTTCCAAGTATTATATCTCTGAGTTAATTTTGTGGCCAACCCAGCACTATGTTTCTGCTTTCAAAGACTATCAACGGAAGGTTGTAATTAAAACCAACGTACAAGGAAGAATTAGACAAGATAGGAAATCTTTTCGGTGAACTTTATGCAGAGGGAAATATGAAATGAGTTAAAAGGCAGTTCCGGCGGAGAAATTCATCGATTTGGAGCATATTCCTGCACCAATCACATCCGAAGTTGTATTGAGCGTAGCTGAGACAGTAGAGGATTGCCGTTTGCACAGACAAAAGATAGAGCTCATTTCATTTTCTAAACCAACCGCCTAAAAATCATTCACACATGTACACGTTTAAGCTCAAAAACATATAATAAATAATCCTCGAAACGGACATTTTAAATCATAAAACATATAGCAAGAATGATATAAAACAATGGCGTAGAAATTGCATTTACTAAACAATAGACGAAGAAAATGATTTATATTGGTATAAAAACTTAGCCGCCAGATAAAGCAAATCACGATATTGAAATGTAGATGTGTTAAAATTCTGTTTCCCTTGTCTTTTCGACAAAAATCCTAGAAAAAAAACATTTATGCAGATGACAAACAGCTATTATATAATAATTTTTAATCGTAAACGGTTGTGATGTCTGTTTTTCGGAAATGAAATATACTTTATTTCCGACAATATTAACTTCATTTACGCAAGAATTCACCCAGTGAAATATACACGGAAACTTTATTTATATCACTTTGAGTGAAGAAAATCATACGCTGTTAACGTTGACGGAAATTCACATCAGTTTATTGCTTTAACAGCTTTTTAAGCGTATCTATTTCAGTGGTTATCATGCATGTATTTTAGCTCATTACGCGCCGCTATTATATGCTTATCCAAATTCTCCACTAAAATTATGATGTATATTTATGTAAATGATGATGTTGATCACAGACATTATTATGATTGCACTAATTAGTCAAGAACTACTGGTGCATTCAATTTTTTTACGCTTATATATGTACCTAGATGTATATACAGTTCAACTGTATTTAATTCAGCACACAGGTCTTAGGAAACACAAAACGCTTACAAAACGTATCATTAATTTGATATTTTTTTTTTTTATAGATAATTGTTGGAAAAAATATTTAAACATTTATATTGCAAGAGATACATGTATGACTGACATTTAGCAAACTGTTGACAAAATTTAAAAAAAAAAAAGAAGAAAAAAACCCCCCATTTCTTATACAGAGAAATAGCACCCAGTTACTTCTGGTTTGTTTCAGACCAAGATAAGGGTTAGTTTTTCTCTAAATTTACAACATATTACTTTTCATAACAGCTTGGAATATTCACATACATAATTCTGATAAAACAAAATCTAGTTCAAGATTATCAATTTCAATTTCTATGAACTATGAAATATTTTAAGAAATTTCTAAACGACAGATAAAAAACAAAAACTAGACTTTCATCAACATAAAAATTCCCCCGTGCACCACTCGCTACTACTCTAACTAAAATTTCTTGCTAATACTTAGATCAGGACAACTTCTGATAATACAAGCCTTGTATGTTTTAACTACTGCACGAACTACGGTACATTCTAGTTACATGAATACCCTAGGAAAAAGGAAAACTTAAACGGACAGGAATATCAAAACAAAAAACACAGAAGTAAAAAAGATAAATATTGCATTATTAATAGCAGTAAAGGGATGACTAAAACTACATCAATGCATGCCCATTACTTGTACATGTATTTTACGAAGTCTTGCACAAACATTAAATGATTTGTACCTTCCATTTTACGTTTTTATTTATCCTTTAAAAAAACTCTCTCTCCCCACCCCTTTCAAAAAAAAAACAAAAAATATTTTTAAAACAATGTACTCATTTATTTGTATGCATCCAAAAAAAAAAAAAAAAAAAAAAAAAAAAAAAAAAATAGATGAATTCGGATGATAAACTAACATCTTTAAAGAGTTATACGACTTGCCTGTCTTCATAAAAATGTCACAGAGAAGCTACTGATGCTACAGGGGATGTGAATATTGGCTAGCTTACATGTAGCTTACTTTGTAATTTAATTATCTGTTCCCTAACAGTACAATGAAAAGAAAACACACACACACAAAAACATGTTTATCACAATGTAGAAAGGGCACATGGGTTTGTGTTTCAAAGTGACAAACATTATCTATTCCTAAAGAAATAAATCTATTTAGGTAAATCTAATTTAACAGAGCACCTTTCCTATCAGTAATCTTTATAAAAATATAAGAAATGACGTACAAAGTTTGATGCAATGCTTGAAACCCACACACAACTGAACCAGGCATTTTCTTAGTCTTTGTGAAAGAAGTTACACTGTTCAACAACCCTATTATTCAAATATTATATTATCTTTTATTGACAGTATTTTATTGATAATTTGTGCATTTTTTATGAACAGTGTACAGAATTTTCACCCTAATTCCAAATATTTTTGGACATTCAAAAAATTTAAGAGTATTAGAGGGCCAACTGGCACATTTATAGGTGGCCTAGCTTAAAATATCAACAAATCAAGATATGGCACCTTAATAAGAGCAAAACCTCCTTAACAAAACAATAAATTTTACATCTATAGTAGAAATATATAAATATATTTAAATATTTCACTTAAAGTTTACTTCACAGTTGATTGTACTGGGTCTTCTTAAAGTTTAATAATCTTCAACCATTCTAAACGTAATTTCAGATTTTGTATATTACAGAGAAAAAATATTAATTTAGTAAAGAAGCCTCAGTAAGTGTATGTGTAGATAAATTAAGCAAATATCAATATTGGAAATGTAATGAAATTGGCAGTCAAGTACAGTTCAACTTCAGTATCTCGAATATAGATATCTCAAATATCATGGGCATGTCAAGGTATTTAGTCCACACCATTTATTCTATAAATATTTTCCCCTTGTTATCTCGAATCCTTTGATGTCTTGATGTTTTTTTCTTTGTCTCATCGATGTTCAAGATAACGAGGTTTGACTGTATTGTAAAACCTTCCATACATCAATCTACACTGCCAGAAGGAAAGTTTTCATAATGTTAAGGATTATCAACTTCACAAAACTGTCACTCAGCACTCTCTATCCCCACGTATGTATCATCACATAGCTACACACACACACAATTTTCTCTCTCTCTCTCTCTGTAATTTGAATAAAATATCAGCTAAGCACTCTGAGTTCTCCACATCAGAGTCATTATGATTTTATACTTTATACAAGAGATTTAAAAAATGGAGATACAAAAAGAAATAAAAAATATGAGAAAAAAATTTTAACATTATTGGATCTGCATTTACGTATAGTGGTACCCTTGGTATGACTCTTGGATTTGACTTGATACTATGTCCAGCAGGTGTCATGACCACTTGAGGTCATACCCCTTCCAGTTTGGGGGCGGGGACAGGTAGATCCTCTGTCCACGGTATATAAAACTGACCACACCATTGTATGCCACTCTTGGGACTCCAGCCTGCAGTCAAAAGATAAATCTTATTAAAATGGTGCATTAAACTTCTAAATAATTCTTACAAAAAATTAATATTTTAAAAAACTTGGTACATGTATCAAAAATTAAAACTCTGAATATATTGGAGTTATTGTCTCTGGCTCATACATGTGTACATGTATACATGCATTGAATTTCCTAATTTAAGTGACTGTATGAAATTTAAAAAAAGTTTTGAAATGAGATTACTCTTCATAGGTCTTTGTACAGAATATTTTATCTTTATAATTCCCATAGGTACATGTATGTAAGAATTTTCTTCTACATTCAAACAATTTCACTTGTAACACACATAACAATTTCATCCTCACATTATGGTACCAAATCAGCAATACTTTAGTTACATATTCCATTATATGAGCATTTGGTAGGCATTCATAAATCCTTTTCTGATTTATCAAGCTTATCTTGAATTTACATATACATGTATATATAGTTTTCTTCTTTTCTTTTGTGATCTGTTTATCATACTACTGGTACATACACTGTAAATGTACTTTTTTGTGTGGGGTCATAATTCTGCAAAATCACACTTTCTGTTTAACCCATAGGTAGAAAATTAAGCAGATTTCTTGCATTGTTATTGAATGTACTTTAAGCATGCTGTGACAAATTTCCCAGGAAAATTTGTTACTGCATACACAGCGCAAATTAATCCCACTCAGAAACAGAGATGTGTTTGTGAAACACTGATGCCCCCGCATGGCAACTTATAGCGAAGGTTAAACTTTCTCAAATGCAAATCAAATATGTTGGTACCCAAAGTAAGGTTTTGTCTCGAGGAATATACCTGTGAAATATGAAAGCCCTAGCAGCAGCTATTGAATAGATATGGAAAACGTTAAAGTTTTTCAAAAGTAATTCAAACATCAAGGTCAAATGGTCAAAATTAATGGTGCCTAAGGAAGTATCCAAAGGAAGGTCTTGTCACAAGGAAAAAACATATTAAATATGAAAGCCCGAGCAACAACTTTTCAAAAGTTGTGTCCAAGGTTAAAGTTTTCGAAAAGTAGGTCAAACTCCAAGGTCAAGGTCAAAGTTGTTGGTATCCAAAGGAAGGTCTTGTTACAAGGATTATATATGTGAAGTATGAAAATCTAGCACCAATGGTTCAAAAGTTATGGCCAAGGTTAAAGTTTTCCAAAAGTAAGTCAAACTCAAAGGTCACGGTCAAAGGGTCAAAGTTGTTGGTATCCAAAGAAAGGCCTTGTCACAAGAACTACATATGTGAAGTATGAAAGCTCTAGCATCAGCGATTAAAAAGTTATGGCCAAGGTTAAAGATTTTCAAAAGAAGGTCAAACTCCAAGATCAAGGTCAAAGGGTCCAAGTTGTTGGAATCCAAAGGATGGTCTTGTCACAAGGATTATATATGTGAAGTATGAAAGCCCTAGCACCAGCTGTTCAAAAGTAATGGCCAATGTTAACATTTTACAAAAGTAGGTCAAACTCCAAGGTCAAGGTCAAAGGGTCAAAGTTGTTGGTATCCAAAGGAAGGTCTTGTCACAAGGATTACATATGCTAATTGTGAAAGGCTTAGCACTAACCATTCAAAAGTTATGGCCAATGTTAAAGATTTCAAAAGTAGGTCAAACTCCAAGGTCAAGGTCAAAAGGTCAAATATGGTGGTACCCAAAGAAAGGTCTTGTCACAAGGAATACACATGTGAAGTATGAAAGCCCTACCACCAATCGTTCAAAAGTTATGGCCAAGGTTAAGTTGGGAAAAATTTTGCAAAACTGGCTCAAACTCCAAGGTCAAAAGGTTAGATATGGTGGTACCCAAAGAAAGGTCTTGTCACAAGGAATACACATGTGAAAAATGAAAGCCATAGCTCCAACCAATCAAAAGTTATGGGCATTGTTAAAGTTTTTGTGGACAAACAGACAGACAGACGGACTGACAGGGCAAAAACTATATACCCCTGAATCTTCGATACGGGGGCATAAAAAGTACTTCTACAGTAGTTACATGTATTTGGGATTGTTCTAGGGTGAAAATTACAAATTATCCATTAGAACAGGAACTTACCTTAAATCCAAGACCAAGTGATATACATATGTTTATGACAATTCTAAGATACAGTGATTTCAATACAGTATAACTTATTTCATACTTTTATCCTTAACTGGGTCAAGTTTTCTCAATACAACAATAAAGGGAAAATCATATCTAATTTTTATTTTTGAGAAATCTTTGTACAAGTTTAACTTTCATTCAATGACTTTTTAAAAAAATGAACAATACATGTATAACTCATATTTCATAAAAATAAAACTATTACAAATATAAACTGGGGTATGGTTAACCACAGTACCTTGAAGTCGTCCATAATGCCAAGCTTCTTGGCTGTGGATTTGAATTCTTCTTTGGTAGAGTATAAAATTTTTAAGGCCTTCAGGTTTGACCTATGACCTGACATGGCTTCTGCTACTGTCACTTCTGGTGTCTCTTTCACCAGCTTTGTAAAATATGCATCATATTTATCCTGAAAATATTCAAAAAATTATCTAAATTTATCCACATTACTATAAGAGGAAACTTTGCATATGCTGAAAAATAAGAATTTTCTACTGCATTATTTTATTGTTCACAGCATAAAAATGTATTGTACCTTCATTAAGTATGTAAGATCCTTCTTTGTAAAAGGCACAAACTTGTTATTCAGTTTTATAAATTTGAGATGCTTTTCATAAAATAACCCCCTGCAAAATAAAAAATTTGTTAGTGAACAAAATATTATACAGTCTGACATATAATATCTGTATTCTCATAAGATTAATTTTCACTTTTTTTTTACACACATAGAAAAGCTGAATAATTTCAATTTTCCTCTTATTTATTCTTTGTAGTTTTATCATTTACTTTTGAACTTTGATATTCTTCAACATTGATATCTGAAAGCAATGGATATGTTAAAGTGAGTTAAGTCCAAAAAACCTGTTTTTCTCTCTGTTTTTTAATCTCAATATTTGAAATCCTAAGACATCGCAACATTTTTTCTTGGTTTGGTTTGAACATATTTTATTGTATAAATAATATACAAATGGTTTGAACACAAGTTCTAACAACTTACGAGATTCTCACCAGATTTTTTCTTGGTTCCATAGAGTTAAAGATAATGAGGTTTGACTGTACATATACAGTGGAGCCTTGCTAATCTGGATACCAATTATCCAGATGCTTAACCTTCCGGACAACATTTGTAAGGATCAATTTTTACTTATATGTTTGGTGTTCCAATCATCGATTATAATTGAAAATCAGTCGATTGCTGGCATAATCCAAGCGCTCAATTACAAAATTTTAATTCCGATTAATCAGGTTATTTTTTTTATTTTACAAGCGTAATAGTTTTTAAGCCAAATAATCCAGCCGCAACTTATCTATTAACTTATTTGTGTATCATAATGGCACAGAAGAACAGACAATGGTATTCATACCCGGGTAACAATGCTCATTCCCAGGTATGGAAATACTTTGGATTCTACAAAATGAACGAAGAACCACTGGACCACCACAGAAAGTAGTAAAATGTATTCACCCATTCTTACCATTTAATAAAGTAAATTGACAGACTTTGTAAATGTCCGTTTATTATTGATAATTAGTTGGTTACAGTAGCCCGATCATCGATTATGAAATTCTTACCGATTCCCATTACTAGTATCTGGTATAGTTTTATACGTCTTTTTGTGATTTTACTCTACATGGGATATAGATTTCAACCTTTTATGATAACTTTATTCTAATTTTAGAATGTGTGATACTATCCTATGGACATCCTTGGCTTATACCACCTGGATTTTTTATTTTACTTACTTGCTGACCCCTTTCTTGCCAAATGTGCTGGTCCTGCAGATTTCAGGCCTGATACAGGCCCGACCCTTCCTCTGGTCTGGGTGTCTCATCCAATCATCCCAAAATCTACCAGAAAAAAAAAATAAGTAGGTGAAGCCAAAAACTACATAAAACAGTCATTTAGTTTGACCATACACTACTTCACTTCATATTAAAAAGATTTTTTTCTGTAAAAACTTAAGGACCCTCTCTACTCTGCACCCTATTTTCAGGGTACTTTTGTGTAATTAGACTGACCCACCATTTGACATATAAGTAGAATAAATTGTAATATGAACTGTATCACATAATTTAATATGAATCCAAGTATTCTAAACATTATATTAGACCAAGATAGAGTATTTGAAAACTTTATATGCATGTATTTTATCCATTTGAGTAAGCGAATGCAATTTTTCTTTTCTATTACTTCATTGTCTTTGAAGATTTTTCCTGAATAAAAAAGGCATGCTCCCTATATTAAAAATGAGTTGGTTAATTTCAAAATATCCTCCTTTATGCTATATAATTTTCTCAAAGTCCAAAAAAAATATTTCATCAGTGTATAGAGGGTCCTTAAAAAGAATTTACATGCTAAGCCAGATATGACCTTCTGTAAATCTTGTACAATTTAACAATTCTTGATACATAGATTTAAGAACACTACCTCAGTGATTCCAATTATGCACCATACTGATATGATAACAAGATTGACATCAGGAAAAAAAACACACTCATATCCCCCCCCCCCCCCCCGATTATAACCCCTCATATATTTTGCATTTCTGTTTTTACACAATAAAATCCAGAAATGTGAATATTACTTTCTTTTAAATCTACGTCCTCATTCAGATCAGGATTAGTATTTCAATTTTCTATTCAGCAATAGTTTATAATACCACAGATGTTGGTGTGATTTTGACATCTGACAGAATGGTGTTTACTGAAAATGTATCAAGCAAGGACTACTGCTAATGAAAGACTGATGTAACTGCATAGTAAGAGATATGTTCAGTTAAATGGAACACTACAGTGACTTTTATTCAGGCATATGCACTGCTTGATGCTGGCAGCTGTCAACAGAAATTTGTTTACATTGTTACAAATTAGAAATAAAATACACCCATCTGCAACAATTTTAATTTTCAATAAAATTTGGATAAGAATTTAGGAATTTTTATACTACAGCCTTAAAAGGCCATGTACAAATATATGAAATAAACTTTGCGAACTTCTTAACTTCTTGGTTACATTCGATCTACTTACGCATTTGGCCATTTGGGTCCTAGTTCCAGCCAGGTGGACTTTTCCATCATCCAGCCCAGACCAGGAAAAAAATCAGTTCTATATAATAATTCTACAAAATACAAAGTACAAATGAGATCAACATATACAATAGTGTCGTTCCGATAGTCACCGACTATTGAAAAATCGTCGTTGAAGGCAGTGCTTCAGCAACAATTGATAGAAAACTTTACAATTGATGGTCCTTAATTTTTTTGAATATACATAAATTATCTTTTTAACCAAACTGGTTTATCAAAGGATCATTATCAAAGGACGTTTCTTTATTTCTCTGGTAAATGGAGGACATGCTTTCCAACTAAGCATGTTTTCATGTTGATGTCACAGATTTGTATTGAAAAATTGTTTTCATATCCAAGGATATCTGAATAGTTACATAGTTTACTTTATTTGATGAAACCTTTAATTAAAGTTCAAACTATCGATCTTACAATCAATTATATTTTACCGATTGAATTTGATAATTGATAGTAAATTTGGTCTGATTTTGCAACACTAATATACATGTACAATATGTTTACAGGTGTATCTCTAAACAGTGAAATAATGTAGACAAAACAATTCCTGGATGAACAATTAACATAAAAACAAATAAAATTAATTAATAGTTTCTCAGACCAAAAATTTCAAAATTCAGTACAGCAGGCAGGTTTTTTTTTTTTTGGGGGGGGGGGGGGGGGGGGAGCAGGTGTTATACCTTTTTTTCATGCCAGTCAACAGTCAATGTTCCACAAAATGATGATATCAACTGATTCTTACTTTTTTTTCTTTACGTACATTAGTTATAATATGTATTCAACTCTAAATGTTATTCCAAAAATTTGTTTAAAAGTTAATCAATTCATAATATACTGTATTAACAAGAAATATATAGATTATTTATCTAATAAAAAGTCTATCTATTAGCATTTGTGAAAAGGGGAATAACTCAATTTTCTTTTTCAATTTGGAAAAATAGAAAATTGCATTATTTCCTTTTTCAATATGTCAATAAAATTGATGAATGCGGCAGTTTTTGACCTCATGAAGTGGTGCCTGAGAAACTATTGATTAATTTTCTTTGGCCATTTGTATTTCCATAAAGTGCTTTATGGCCTGATGTCACAATTATAAACTGGTTGTCAAAACAGTTTACAAGCTAAAAAAAAATTTTAAGTATCAAGAGGTACCAGAATATATCGTCAAAATTGTAAGTGTTGAGAATGAACGTGTATACACAAGTGTAAAATGTTCATAAAATGATCATCATTTTTTAATGCATTGATTCAGTCACAAATAATGCAGGGTGAACATGAGAGTTTTGTAATGCACCAACACCCTCATGCCCTTACTCCATTCCTATGCAAACTTTGCTTGATTTACAACACAGTGCTCCCCCACCCTCCCTAAAAAAGATAATTCAATGCTTTGATCAATGAACAGTTTATAATGTACTCTATACCTGCATCATCAGACACCATCTCCACTTTGCCGTTATCGTTCCACGCTGACACACACCACAGACTCGGGTCCTGATGCAGGATAGGGAATGTTGCAGAAAAATACTCATAAAAATCAGGGGAAACGTCTAAGTCATCTATAGGTAAAAGAGATTTTTTTAATGTCATAATGTTGAAAATGAGAAGAGAAATTTTTTCTGATTAATATCTTAAGTAAATCCAGCAAATTTGAGTTATTTTGAAATACATGTACATATTGTGTTTGTTGAATTTTTACTTTCTTCAGAAAGGTGAATTTGGTTTAGTATAGGTACATTTGGTCAAAGTAAATATGTACATGTATGTACATGTAGTATTTTCTTTTAAAATATTTCTGCATTTATTCTTTATTCCTTCCCACATAGATTTTGGAAAATTAATCTGAATGACAGAACGTACACGTAAAAAAAGAATTTATTTTGGATAATTCGATAAATGTACATGTAGGTCGTACCTTCTACAATAATCACAGCAGAATGATTATAGGTGTGAAACACCTGATTGAGCGCCCATTTATAGTGACGACTCAGCTTGTAGTAACCCTGGAACTTCTTCTGTGGCCAGGGAAGGTGAATATCACTTAAATTTGGGTGCTGTAAATTAAAAAAATTATTTGAATATATATATATGTCTCTAATTTTGATGCTGTGAATGAAAAAATACTTGAAAATACTTAAATTTGTGTGCTGTAGATGAAAAAATAGTTCAGTGTATAAAGAAATTGAATTTCGATCAATATAGTTTTCATGAATTGCAGTGCATTACCTGACTTATTGTAGAAATTGATTGGATAATTTTACATTGTATCAGTGCTGAGAGGTGCTAACCAACAGGTTTATTTCAGTAGAAATATTTGAAAATATTCTCAAGTCAGTTTTATACAAGTACTAATGAAAGCACTCATTGCTAAAGAGAGATAACTCTAATGTACATTTATAAAACTTTCATTTTCTCTCAAATTTCCTTGAATTTCATTTTTATCCCCACCCCCTGTTAAGGAAGATGTCATGCTTATACAGAAAAATTCCACTTCAGTAGGAGAGGGTAATTGTCCATAAATCTTAATCAACTTTATACCTTAATATGTTGGATTCCATGATCCACCACGTAGCGTTGTATGACATCAGCAGTAGGTTTGTGTCCACAGTCTTGACTTACAATGATGGGGAATTTGTCTTTATTTGGTCTGTATCTAGATATATCAAAAGATACATATAGGAAGAACGTTGATTTACAAAGAATTTAATTGTTTTCTAAATGGGAAAGGAGGATTAGAACTACTTTTTTCTCTTTTCTGTCTGAGAAAATGGTTCCTCAAGATCAAGTTTTCATTCTGTGGTAATTGTACTTAATTTTATTTTATTTTAATATTAGTCTGTATATTTTTATTGCAGGGGTTTCATTCATTGATTCATTCACACATGGACTGTGCATTACTCATCAATTGGTTTTAATTTAATGCACTGCTTTACTAATATATTTGATTTAATCCTAAACATCCCTATTTATGATAAGGGTTATATACCCAAAACTATGGGTTAAGGTAGTTTGAAAGATCAGTCTATTTATAAATAAAGGTATTGTCGATTGTGGAATCAAGATCTGGCTCTGAATTATGAATTTATTATTTTATATCAATTTATTAGGCCATGATGTACTAAATACTCTGTAGTATAAAGTCATACAGAGAAATCACACAGCTCCATACATAACTATCATATAGCATTGTAAATATTTCAACATACCGGTATAGAGAAATATTACTTATTCAATCTAAGAGTTTCAAAGAGTTATCACCCTTTGATTGTGATTAATGACCTAAATAAATGTTTCATGTTTAGATTGTGACTGTTTTGTTTTGTAAATAGAATGTGCTTGTCTACATGCTGTTCATACACTTATATGTTGTTACTATTTTTTTAGGGTAGATAATCACCATCTTATATTATTATTTTATCTATAAATTTCCATCATTTAACATATCTCCATGGAATAAAAAGATTCCAATCCTGAGCCATCTTGTTTATTTCTACAAGAACCGTTACAGTATTTTGAGAAAAAAATTATAAATAAACATCAACTTGAATAAGATAATGGCATGTAAACAAAAATAATGGTTATAGTAAAAAGGAAATAAATGTAGGATACTCTCTACAAACTCACTTGAGGAGGAGATCCAGGCTACGACTGACCGTCGTCCGATCACAGGCGATGAGAAGGATGGGAAGGATGATTTTGTCGATGTTAAATGGAACAGGTGTGGTTGTCTTATGGATTTCTCTGTCAAGTTTCTCTATAAAGAAAATCTTATGAAATTCAAACCTAAACTTTATTTATTGTAAAATACACCTGCTAGGTTTTATGCTTTCCCAATCACCATGTATTTGGGAAAAAAAAAAAAAAAACTCTGACATTAATTTAAAAGAAATCAAAGTTGTTTTATATGACTGTTACATATGTAGGAATTGATAAAATCTAACATAAACATGATTTAATTCTATAATAAAAATATCAATCTTCACTTATTTCAATTAATTTCTTTAGAATGTGTCTGGATTATAAAGTTCCCTAAAACTTTACAGTTATGACATGTACATTAAACTGTAGTAAACACCAGGATTTAATACAGCTCTGTACATGTACTTATGAAGTTTAGGAGAAAATCTTTAGATAACTCAGTATAACCCCTGGTATAACTCTAAATATTAGATGTCTGATATTGTACAACAAACTGTAACCTTAGTATTAAGTAATACGACATGCAACGGTAACACAGATCAATATAATGCCCTCTAGCCTAAAACAGTAGATAATGATTACATGTACATCATGTACATGAACCTGTCACAGTACCACAGAAAGACCTCCCTCTCTCTCTTCTAAACTAGCTAGTACAATTTCATCAGTAGTTTGGACTACAGTTGGTGTTGACATGCTTATACATGTACCTGCATCAGACAGAATTGTCAACAACAGTATGATGTAATTTTTCATCAGGGTAACTTTAATTCTGTTTGATGTGGGTACATTTAAAAGCATGTCGACAATAAACGTGATTTCATCAACATATGATCAAAGCATACACTGCATACAGGCTTCTTTTTCTCAGAAAAGACCTGTAAGACTTGTGGCATCCCATTGTTTATCAGCAACATCCAGAAGTCCAGACTATCAGTGAAATTGTCCTAATCCATGCAATACATTCCTATGTACCAACACTGCTTTTCAGTTTAAACATCTCACCTGCTAATTTTTGCTCTCGAAACTTACGTAGCTGTTGCAGCAGTTCCGAATTTTGCGAGAGCTGTCGATGGATGTCACCTTGGAGACCTCTTAACTGGTCTTCTACTGAGCCAGAACCAGTCTAGAAATGAAGGCATAAATTAAAATAAAGGTTTCTTTTCAAAACAATTTTTTTTTAAATGGTTCCTCTCCACAACTATTTAAGGTTATAATAACATAGTCAAGTAATATAATTTACATATACATGTATGTTATAAATTTCATGAAACCAAAAGCTAGTACTACATGTAAAATATTCTCCAAATAAAGCAATCAGAGATTAAGTGTGGAAGCTTTGAGAGGAAGAGGTTATCACAAAATATTAAATCAATTTCAACTATCAAACTGACATTATGATTGCTTTTGAAAGCAAAAAGTTCATATACATGTATTTAGATCTTGAACCAATACATGTTTTAAAATACACTCTCAGACAATTTTCTGCTACCGTATATACTCGCCTATAAGTCGGTTGTATTTTTTTAGGTTATTTTGGAGGGATTTGCCATTGACCTGCTTATAAGTCGGTACAACTTTTGCCAGAATCAGTTAACAATTTCAAATCAATGCTCTGATGTTTAACCTGGTTTCGATTAATATTTTTAAAAAATACTTAATTTTAAATCATTAAGAAAAATATATAATGCACATTTAAGATAAAAATAAAGTTATCAAAATATGTAATTACTTTTACTTTATGTATAATTTTAGAATACATAAATGATTTAATATATCTAGACTTTGTTCAATGATAATCGGCAGAAATGTGAATAAAATACTACACTTCGCCCTCCAGAAAAAATACTAATCTTTTTATGACTCGCCTATAAGTCAGACATAGAGTTTTGGACCAAAATTTAACTCCCAAAAAAACCGACTTATAGGCGAGTATATACGGTAAGTCTGAGAGGGCCAATTAAGGCCATTCAATTTGGAAAATAAGAGATATTTTGGGAAAATCGAAGTATAGTTCAACTTTAGTATCTTGAACATTGATATCTCAAATACCACAGATATGTTGAAGTTAGCTTAAAAGTCCCAACTACTTTTTCTATACATATTTTTACCTCGATATCTGTTCAATGACCCTGATTATAGACAATTATGAGCTTTGAAATATTCAAACTACTGTACAATTTATAGTACCTTTCCAGGGTTCTTTGAGACTAGCATGTAATACATCAGCAAATTCCAGGTGAGAAAAATCACCACCACAATGGCCACCAAGTGTTTTCTTCTCATTGTTTACATCAGTTCCTGGTCCTAGGTATTCATAGCATGGAAACATGATGCCATAAAAGGCCAAATCTGCTCATGGTCCCTGTCTTTCAAACGACCCTTACTCATTTTAATGAGAGTTTTTACATTCTGAAAAGAAAGAAAACAGTATCTAAAAATCAATTATCCTTTCTTCTATATTCAATTTGCAATGTTTGACATAGTAGGGTTGCAGGAAATACAATTTCTATTCATATTGCCTAATATAGACGACTTTCACATTTACAAAAGGTTATTTCATTTCCCTTTGTGGGGTTAATCGGCATAACCCACTGTACTTATACTTATAAGTATACGTACACTTATACTCGCTTATAATGCCCTGTTCACACGGAGAGTTCAATTCACAGTAAATTTATGCAAAGTAAAATGATGTGAATTAAACTAATGCAAATTAAATTGCATTCACAAGACAGCTAATGTGAAGTAAACTACTGCGAATTAATTTTATTTCTACTACATAAGGCTATTCAGTAAGGCTATTATGACAACATTTGCAAATCACGTCATATTGTGCAGAGCAGATAATACATTTGACATAATGTCATAGTGTCTGTACGCATTTTAGTGATTTACATAATTTTCTTTTGTTTTCAATTCAAAAGTAGCACAAGTACCTATATTTTACCACCGACATGTAGCCTATGACTTAATTTTGCCCTTACGCATGCGTCAGAATTTAATTCGAATTAGCTTCGCTTAGAGTTCACATGGAGCTAATACGAAGTAATTTAATGCGCAGTAAACTAATTCGTATTAAACTAATTTGCATTAAATTTTCCATCTGAATGCGGATCAAATTTAATTCCCAGTAACTTACGGTTAATTCGAATTAAACTCTCTGTGTGAACAGGGCATAATATTACAAACTTAATCAAACCTGTATGTATGTTCATTATGTTTTCTTTCATGCCCCATATCATGGCAATGCAGGAATGGTTAAATTCTCCAAAAGCATTTGAAGGTTTAAAATATTTATACATGTTATAGGTAAGTTACAAAGGATATAGTGAAAAAATAAGCATTACGCTGATAATGGGAGATAACTCTTAGGAATGTAAAAGTCATCTATTATATATGAATTGACCCACCAATCATGCCAATTACATCAAAATTAACCTCCTTGTCAGTCTTCACTAAAAACATTTGGAAATCTCAGTATCAAAAGTGCCCCTTGACCCTTCCCCACAAACATCAATATTATTCAATATGAAACATGTGAAACAGTTGGAGGAAATAGAGGAATCTTATCTAGGATTGCTGGCCATTTATGACAGAAATCCTTGGTTTAATCCCAAACAGAAAATACACCTGCCTCTATTATAACACATATCTAGGTTTATACAGAGACTTGGAGGAGAATGGAAGATATAATCTCATATAATCTGCAAGTACACGTCGATAAGCATGATAAGAAAAGCATACACCATCATTGCATGTTCTGAACTTAAATATCCTTCAGTGTTGTATAAGTTCAGTTAAACAAATGCTATCTAGGAATTAATTTAACTACTTTGATGTTTGAATACTAACATAATCACCACCCTAAATTTGAAATTTATAAACGTAGAATGCTTAACCTGTTAAAAAAAAGAACGACTGAGGATATTCGAACTAATTCGACGTGTCACAAGCAGACGAAGATTATGGGTGTCAGTTTACTTGTCACAAGAAAAACAAAAAATAGAACCTCTCCTGCTAGAAATGTTCAAAAAATACTTACGTAAAGAAGAAATTACGGCCACATTTATTGATTAGAGGATATTTTAGCTTCCTTTTCCTGACAAAAAGAAGAGTAATCTCGCGTTATCAAGAAACAGTGTCTAGTAGAGGGAAACGAAAACGATAGGAATGTAATTTTACGGTTTACATGTAGTTCCTCAATAACACGTAATGCCTCTAGCAGAGTAGAATCGTTTTTAAAAGGGGGAGCCAGAAAAAAAATTGACAACTTGCCTGAAAAACTTTGACAAGCAAACAAAAAATAAATGGATAAATAAATAAAATTTTAAAAAAATCCAAAACTCGTGGAAAAGGGGGGGGGAGGGAGGGGACGGGGGAGTTATGACCGTCTATATTGTTAATGCGATACAGATCATACAGATTTCATTTGAAAGGCAATTTCACATTGTCCCAATTTGGTTATGTTATACAGGGAATCCAATCCAGTTGACCCCAATAACTTTCCTAAATGTGAAAGTCGTCTATTATATGAGACTGAACTCAAAATAAAAGCGATAACATTTATGTGTATTAACAAAATGTACCAGGCCTGCCATATATAGTGGACGAGAGCGCTGTTGAAGGGAGATGGGAGTCGGTTCCAAATTTCTCTCAACCAATTTTTTTAAAAATACATTATCACCACATTACCATGATCTGACTGTATTGCAAAAAAAAAAGGGGGGGAACCCCCCCCCCCCCCATTTTCAATGAACATTTTCAACAGAAAATGCTTCTCTAAAATTAAAAAAGAAAAGAAGGAACAATTTGTTTTCCCGGAAATATCCAGACCTGGATTTTTAACTTTTCCGGGATGGGATGGGCGGGGTTGGACCATGGGGTGGTTGTTTACAACTTCTCGCTTTTAAAAAAAAATGAGAAGCAAACAGAAATAGAAGAAAAAATAAGAAACAGAACTATCATGAAAAACTATTTCGTCTGGGGGATCTCTCCAACTTGACAAGAAGTCCATGTTTCCTGGGAAAAGGAGGGGGAGGGGTCATTTCTAAGTAACTTTAACTTATATGTATATACTAAACGTACAATGTAAGTCGTCTTTGTTATTTTTCTGACAGTTTAAGATTTCCATACGCAGAAAGGGAAAAATAAAAAAGTTAAGTCACCCTTTGGGGTTATTTTCTTTTTTTCAACCAAAGTTAAGATTTTTTTTTAAATATTAAAATATCTATTTTATCAGTTTTAAGTAGAGTTTGTTCAATAGACCCAGAGTCTCAACGGTGTCTTCCCACTTAGCCAACATTTTGAGAAAAATACAGGTAAACACAGGTAAATCTGTGTCGGCTACGTGGGAATGGGGTGCAGGTGGAGAACAAAAGAATTTAATTAACTGTAGGCTATAGTCTGTTTTAAAATGTAAGCAGAATAAAATTGTTTAATTATGAGACAATGATAAAGTAATAGGACCTTATAGGATCCTACATACATGTAATTAAATAAGACATGGTTGTGTTTATTATGTATAGAATGATCTAAATTGATTCTTTAGCCAGGAAATATGTAACTTTTTTTAAACAAATATTTTCATTATTATGTTCTTTAATATTAATCGAATATTCAATGCACGAATAAATATGTTTAATCACAACTGATAACTATATTGTGGATTATTTAACTTTATTGCCAATGTAAACAGTTTTTATACCTTTTTAATTAATTTCTTAATTTTCAATATATATTTTATTTTCAGCATTTATTTTTTAACAAAAAAATGATGATTTATATTTTTTCCCCCATATTTGCAAAAATTAATCTAATAATTGTTATGGAACTCTTTTTAATTATTTATTAATTTATTTATTAAAGTTTTTTTTAAATTTATACATTTATTTATTTTTATTAATGAGCTAATTGATAAATAATATTTTTTCTTTTATTTTTCCTATATTATGAAAGAAATAATTCTCAGGTAAAGCATAATAAATACTCGTACATGAAAAAACAGACTATAGCCTGTTGGTCACTCAGGTGTAAAATTCAAAATGTTGGCTATGTGGGAATAAGATTTTTCAAAATGTTGGCTAAGTGGGAATAAACCGTCTCAACTACACGTATTACTTAATCTTACATATATGTTTTTCTTCAACAGTTAACATTTTTCGAAAATGTTTATGAATTTTTTTGCCTGGCCATATATGTATATAGCCGAAAACTGACAAAGGGCCTTAAGTTATATATTCTTCTTAATCCAAAGCCATGAAATTGGTTGAAGTAAATAAAAATATACCAACTGGTAAATAAAACTTTATAAAGAAAATAATTTGAAATTGATAATAAATTTATACTAAAAACAGAAAATATATCAGAGGGTCAATTTTGCACTATGATAATTTTTTGGTCAGAAAAATCTTTGTCCTCAAAGATAAAAATGAAAAATACATTAGCAAGTCAGTAGAAAAAAAAATGTACCAAGGAAAAAAAAGAAAAAAGAAATATGATTTTATATGTATATTTACATTAAACAAAAACATGCAATCTAAATGAGACACAAATAATTATTCGCACCAATGTATGGTGACCAAATGTTTGAACAAACACAAAAAATAGTTATTTACAAAATAGGTGGTATACATACCATGCAACTGAACAAACCGAAAACATATTAATGAATTTCACTCACACACTTTTAAAGTAAGTCATGCCCAAAAGGAAAAAAAAATCTACAGTATTTGAAAATAGAACTTTGTGGTGTGACAAAAGAAAATATGCTGTGTAGGGATGCTGAAGGATGTTGCGAATTTTCCTAGCTGTAAAAGGTGAAATTAAAATGGTTGTTGGTACATTAATGGAGCGGTTAGTATGAGTGTTAGTGACAGAGAAGTTAGTGCATTGAAGGTGTAGGTAATGGAGGATGAAATATGAGGTGGTAATATGTACAGATGAAATATCCTCAGGGGAATCTGTATTTTCCAGTTATGTGGACACAGTGGTAGTGTCAGCAGCGTAAAGAGCTCGCAGGTTAGTTGGTCCAGTGATGAGTTCCAAATGTAGGGATGTTCTGTGCGACCGTTGGAATTTTCGCCAGAGGTTAGCAATGCACGCCATTTCAAGGATGGTGGTCAATACGGAAAGGGAAACATAGGACCAAGGAGTTGTGAACGAGGCATAAATGTGCTCATTTATACTGGGCGGTGGTGTGTTTTCTTATTCCTGATGATAGATGAAAGATAAAGTTGGTTTAAATGTATAAGCCGTTGTTGAGTGGGCCTGATGGAACAGCAACACTGGAAGCAGGGCAGTTCGAATTTTGTAACATGACCAGATACTGAATATGAAGCCAAAGAATGCAAGGAAAGTTGCGATGATGGCTTAAATACCACTTATGTCTGGCCATTTGTCGACTGCAAATTCCACTTGGCCTGCAATCATAGATTTAGCAAGATTTTTAAACACCTTTCCATCACGTCGAACAGCTTTCGCAATTGTTTGTCATTGGCCAAATACTGGGAAAACGAATGATTGAAGATATGAAATTTTGGCAATTTGATGTGAACGAATTCTTCAAATATGGTGTCTCCAAATACAATTGAGTGAGTATCCTTGTCGAGAAATTGCTGGAGCAGGGCCAGATTAACTGAGTGGAGGATGGTAACCTTATCAGTATTGTTGTTGCATTTACCCAAACGTGGTGGCAGATACAATTTGTTGCTAGCTACTGAACAAAGGCACGGTATTTTTACAACACAAAAGGAACAGCCCTTGAGAATTCGTTGACCATTTGCGCAATCTAATGCAATCATTGTTGTTCGGTACAGCAGTAGATGTGAGGGTGATAGTTCGTATATGGCAGTGGGAAGCATGTTGGTCAAGAAACGAAAGTCACACATTTTGCTAACTGCTTCTTTGTGATTGAAGAAGACTGCTGACAAACAACTTTGGGATGCCAATGCTGTCAGTGCAATGTTGAAACTGCAAAAGAGAGTTGTTGTTCATTTACACTGTGACAGGCAATATAAGGATAAATTTTTCCATGGTCCGAAACTAAGTGATCATATTTAGTGAGCTAGATTTTGTGCAATCTGATTTACATGCATCGGAATTTGTTACCTGCATTTTAACAAAATGCAGAAGAAAGAATCATATTACTGATGCAAAATAATGTGTTTACTTTCTTCAGTATTTTTGAATGCACCTATTTATTCTTTGCTATTCTTTATACGGACATGTCCGTGTAACATTTTTACTGTGGGTGCAATAACTTCTATGGAAATAAATAGAGTTTGTTCTTTTAATCTGATTCTTAAGCTTCATATTTTTATTAACTGCAAATTTTATCTCATTTTTTTAATATCATATTGGACTTGGGCAGGCAACATTAAAGCAATGGATTTTCTGATTATTTTTACTATTTTGTTTCCCGGTTATCCCATAAGTGGACTAGTCCAATCCCCTCCACCTGGTAAACGGGACATCCCTTCTTGATTCAGTTTGTTTTCCACCTTTCTTTCAATATTACAAAATCATGTACGTTATAAGGTTAGCTTTTTAAAGAAAAACTTTGAGAGTAAGCCAGGAGCATATTATTTCATGCTTTATGATGAACAAGGGTTTCCTTTTAATACAGTGACACGAGTGTAGGGCAGTACCCGTATAGGAATGGACTTCACTCCCGTAAGGTTCTAAGTAAAGAATCGGCAAAAGGAAGAGGATATCATGATCTGTACTGGTTCTCATTTCATAAAAAAAAAACAAGATGTGTTTGTTAAACACTGATGCCTCCGTATGGCAACTTATAGCAATGGTTAAACTTTCTCAAATGCAAATCAAATATGTTGATACACAAAGTAAGGTCTTGTCTCGAGCAATAAACCTGTGGAATATAAAAGGCCTAGCAGCAACCATTAAATAGATATGGAAAAGGTTAACGTTTTTTTCTAAAGCGTGTCAAACATCAAGGTCAAATGGTCAAAATTAATGGTGCCATAGGAAAGGCCTTCTCCCAAGAAATACACAGGTGAAATATGAAAGCCGAAGCACCAATCGTTCAAAAGTTATGGCCAAGGTTAAAGTTTTCCAAAAGTACGTCAAACTCCAAGATCAAGGTCAAATGGTCAAAGCTGTTGGTATTCAAAGAAAGGT